GCAATAGGATAAATTTTGTTTCGCCATTTCAATCCTTAATATATTCTCTACAAAAAACGCAATAAGAGTGTAATCGATATATTCAGTAGTTTTCTTGTAATTTAAGTTTGAATGTAATTTTTTTCACTTTTAAATTTCAATCTTAGTGTGTTAAGTTGATTTGTATTGAAATGAGACGAGATAGAAAAACATTTTTTATATAAAAAGTTGGCGTATTTTTTAATCTTCAAAATGATATGGGTTTTACGTATTTTAATTGCAGTCAGTTGACAGAATCAGTCCGAGAACGGGAGGAGGTGTCGGGCGCAAGGGCGCTCGCAGCGCGGATCCGCGAGTATAGTTAGTCCGGTCAACCTGTGTTTTAAGGGGGAAGGGGAATTAGAAGAAAGCTGATTTTTTGGAGTCGCAGTCAGATTGGCACCACAACAGATTGGCACCATAGTGTTTTAGCACCCGGCGTCACATTGGAACCTCGTTGACGTGAGGCCATGAAATATCACCCCACGTCAGCTTGGCACCACGATAGATTGGCACCACCCTTTTCTAGAGGTTCCAATCTGTCATGTACTGTTACGACTGATTGGCACCTCTGCGGCCGCCGTCATCTTGGCACCGCGACAGATTGGCACCACCCCTTTCTTGAATGAGGTTTAAAAATACAACAACGCAGTTTTCTGTGTGCAACATTGAGTGGAGCTGGAATATTAATCCAATCCTTCTCTAAAGTCAATCAATACTATACCTGTTCCTCGTGAATGAGATTTAACTACTTGCAGTATTCAAGTAGAGACGGTAAATGTACAAAAAATATGGTAAGTGGTAACCATTTACCATATTTTTTGTGTATTTACCGTCTTGTAACAGTATAAGCGTAAATATATGTTTTTAATGTTACAAGACGTTTCTTTTATTTACTTTCCATCTAATTAACGTACATTATAAATTAAACGTTTAATTTTAATTTTTAACTAAATCATAATATACAAAAATAAAATAAAACGTTAAAATGTAGTTCTTTAATTAAAGACAATCACTTCACAGTCATTCTATAGATTCTTGTGTAAACCATATTAAAAATACTGCAAAGGGCAAACGTATCAAACTGTTACGACTTCCCGAAAGATTAATCAAATTTTAAGTTGATTCTAAAAATATTTTAAGTTTTGGAACGGTCAGAGTGAGGCAGAGAGTCTGTCAACTATCACTAATCGTCTTGTTTTCCGGGTCCGACTCCTATTGTTGGGGCGTACGCACATCCACGGAAACAAGAGATACTGACTCATAATTAATATGTTCAGTATAAATATGTAGCTTGTGCAACTTTTGATGATCTACAAAAACAAATATCATTACGTTCTTAGTCATGATTTTTTTGACATTTTACATTAAATTTCTAGCAAATCGGTTTACGTCTGCCTTGACAAGTAAATACTACATGTAATGTGTAAATTAAACATATTTTAATAACTAACAAACATACATGTTATTACGTTTTCTACAATGAGATTCTGTGAATTTTGATATGAAATTACAAACAAATCTGTTTACTTTTGCAAGTAACAACTACTGATTGATGTTAACAAATCCGAACAGTTATTATTTCTTGTGAAATTATTATTATAGGTTAAAAATAAGAACAAACAACTTTGTCAATACTAACACCAGATTTTATTTTAAACAATAAATAACTTTTACACATATTTACATTTATACATAATTAAGTAGTTTTTGCAATAATGCCGAACATTAAAACAACGTTTCAAAATAAAAATAATCTAATCATGAAAAATACTATACAAAAAACTGTACAATGATTGATATTTAAAGAAAGAAACTTGAAAAATTGAACCAAGACAAATATTATACAAAATAACGATACATGTAGGCCTACTAGGTTTGGTTATAAACTGTGACTATAAAAAACAACATAAAAATAATAATTATTACAATTACAAATTACTCTAAGTGACCGCGGCCTTTGACAACCTCGGCAAGGCACGGATCGTTGTCACTGCACTTTAATTTACAAGTCCCCGGACACTGTTTATTTACACAAATCATAAAATCCCATCCGTTGTTATAAGTTTTTTTACGCCTATACAAAAACCCGTCCTCATCGGCCCACCAAAAACCACCAAATCGAGATTTAATTTTCCTAGCTGACATCTTGACCACTGTTCGATCTGAACTGGCACATCACAAACTGTACATCCCTTTTATACCTAAGCCGTATCTGTCCGGTCCAAGTGAGTGAGGGATGAACCAGGCATGGATAGCCATTCCATGAGTCACTCACGTATTTTTGAGGGGTTTCACGCAAAGGCTGACGAACTGAATTTCTTTATATGAATATAATCTGTCAATATTACTCCATCGTATTTTGGTCGGTATATTATATCCATTGTAACGAAAATAAAGGGTATATCGAGGTAATTTTTTAAAACTATTGTATTCTTCAAGTAAGTACCCTTTAACGAAACAGCCTTTTCTTATAGTAAGCACTTAACCAACCCTAATTTTTAACAGTTTATTTATTCGTAAAATAAAATAATTCTAATGAAACCCAATAAAGCAAGTAAACAAATATTACTATATAAAACAAATAAATTCGTATTCTTATTATAAGAAGGTTCCAACTGAATAAATGATCCTGTCCGTAGAACCGGTACACAGCTTTTTGTAACATATACCCGTAAGGTAATATACTTAATATACGTAAGCCGATTCTTTGCTTCAAAATTGTGGGCGACTGGGAAGTTGTAGAACGACGGGAGAGGGCTCAAATTAAAGGTCTCGATCTCGGGACGGCGGGAAAAATAGCGAAATTCCCTCAATTTTAACACAAAATTAGATATAACGTAACATGTTTTCCATAAGAATAGCATTATAAACCATTTTATGCTGATTTTTGTTAATTCAATACAGCAATTCAATATCGTGATTAACCAGTAATCAATATTACATTTGGATTACTCATTTGCCAGTCAATTCTACAATGTACTATATAAAACCAGGGATAACGTTACCTATAATAATTAAGACTTTTTAGTTACATCTAAGAATGTTGAAATAAATACGTGTATTTTTAAGTAAATTAGTTAACTGTATAATAAGTATTAGAATATTATGAGATGGTTCAAATCAAAGGAATTTAACTTAGAATATATGAAAAAAATAATAAAGTGTTTTACTTATACTTTGAAGGTTATTGTGTTGAAGGAATATTTAACATGAAATAACCACATTGACTAACTAAAAAACGATTCAAGATTAAATGGAAAACTTCTTCTTCGTTTTGATTTCAAAACATATGTTAAAGATTTATTCTACACTTTTTTTTGTAAAATTACTGACATTTATATTTGAAATTTATTGTAATTTTTATTCAATATTTTGTATGAAGTGGTGGTAAGCACCTAAACCTCAACGGCTACTCTTAGAAAGCATCCTTGGAATAAAGATGAAATAGGTTTGTTCAGGTATTTATTTGTTCATTAAGTAAGCACGATGACAAGTTCCAATGGGTGTAAAAACAATATAGTTGGGCGGAGATTTTAACAAGGTTCTGCCTGTTGCAACTGTCCCGTTGCTCCAAGGAAAAACGGTTAAAATAATATAGCCTAGCATGCATGGGAGTAAAGGAAGCATCCATAAATACCTCAGTTTCTGTTAAAAACTAACCAAAAATATTCTTTTCGAAGACGCTGATAAAAAGTAATTTTGTGATTGGTTTCGATGACTAGATAATTGAACCCTAATCATTCGCAAAATAGTTAGTAATCGATGATTAGGCCCTTTTTTTTATTGAATATGTTAAGTCAACCACACCTTTAGGAGGAATACCACCACGTAATCTTAAACTAGGCTAATATTAGTTTTTAAATGTTGATTAGAATCAAACAAATCCAGCGTTAAGTTTGGTCAATGGGATGTCCTTACACTAATTTTTTTTACCTTTACAAAAGGAGTGGGTTTGACCAAGAACTAATCTTATCTCAACACACCTTTTAAATCCTGTTAAGTTAATAAATGTCTTCTTTTCAGTCCGACGTTAGGTTCGACAGATTCCTGCACATCGTCCAAAATTGCGTCAAACGGTATTTTTTGCAGCTATTTCCCCTGCGATTTGATTTCTGATTAAAGAGGAGAGGGTAAGATGGCCTAATTCTTTTCTGTGTCCATTGTGGGTACTGCAGTATTAAATTTTCACCACACCATCACTGTAGGTAACTACCATAATTCAAAGGACAGTATGCATTTATTTTTTAAGACCCGTTTATTTTAATATCTCTTTTTCTTTTTGGGGAAACAATGGTATCTTCATAATAACCAGAACGATTGCATTGGAAATACTCTACTTTTCTATCAGTATTTGTCTTAGCCCCTCTCTTTTTAACAAATATTACTGTATATTCCTCTTCTACTTGATTTTTCCATTTATTGAATTCATCACTATTATTAAATTCATCACTATTATTAAATTCATCACTATTATTAAATTCAAGTTTTGCAGTTTGCAATGAAATGTTGTGATCGTTCTCTTTGATGGGTTTTGAAGTCATTAAAATTTGCATATACTGAGTTACAGGAGGCACACCTAAGTAAAACTGAACGTAGGCCTACCTTATCAGAAAACGCAATGTCAACGTGCACATTGTTCCAGTGTCTTTTTAAATTAAAAATTTTATTAAAATCCTTATCACATAACTCACACTTAAAAATGTTCTTGGAAGACATTATTTTTTTAGTTTTAAAAGTTAAGGCGTTGGCTTAAAATATGTCTAGACCATGGGCCTAGCCTAGAAAATCATTGCCTCATGCACAAAGCTCACATTTTAAATTTTTTCTTTTGAAATTTGGAATTTGTTTCTTTGAAGAATATTTTTGTCAGTAAATTTATACTTTGTTTATGCAATGAAAGTGAATGCTTTGACTTACCATTCAAATTTCTAGCTCAACCACTTCTATGTCATTATCCAGTGCCGCTAACAGTACCGCTAATGCTGCAGCTAACACTGCCAATGCCGGAGCTGCAGCTAACACTGCCGGTGCCGGAGCTGCAGCTAGCACTGCTGTTGCCGGAGCTGCAGCTAACACTGCCAATGCCGGAGCTGCAGCTAGCACTGCTGGTGCCGGAGCTGCAGCTAACACTGCCAATGCCGGAGCTGCAGCTAACACTGCCAATGCCGGAGCTGCAGCTAACACTGCCGGTGCCGGAGCTGCAGCTAACACTGCTGGTGCCGGGGCTGCAGCTAACACTGCCAATGCCGGAGCTCCAGCTAACACTGCCGGAGCCGGAGATGCAGATTACACTGCCTATGCCGGAGCTGCAGCTAACACTGCCAATGCCGGAGCTGCAGCTAACACTGCCAATGCCGGAGCTCCAGCTAACACTGCCAATTCCGGAGCTGCAGCTAGCACTGCTGGTGCCGGAGCTGCAGCTAACACTGCCAATGCCGGAGCTGCAGCTAGCACTGCCGGCGCCGGAGCTGCAGCTAACACTGCTGGTGCCGGAGCTGCAGCTAACACTGCCAATGCCGGAGCTCCAGCTAACACTGCCGGTGCCGGAGATGCAGATTACACTGCCTATGCCGGAGCTGCAGCTAGCATTGCTGGTGCCGGAGCTGCAGCTAACACTGCCAATGCCGGAGCTCCAGCTAACACTGCCGGTGCCGGAGCTGCAGCTAGCACTGACGTACCAATGAAAGCCCAAACAATCTGATGCGCATGGTTGAATCTTAGTTTCAGCTGGTTATAAAAAGATTCCTGATCGTTATTTGTCCGTCGGGGTTCCCCAAAAACGGACAGGTGGAGACCGCCATCACCTGAACAAAACATTTTCTATGCATATCCCAACTACATTCTCAAGCATCTTCTCCCAATTTCTGGGTTCTTTTATCTCCTTTACATTGTATCCGACTATTGTGTAATTTACATGGGCTACTGCATGTTTCACGCTGGCCAGCATATTGCTGCTTCCTGGGATTATAGGCAAGCACTTTTCACCGGGGTCTAATGCATTCAGAAGCAGCCTGGCCTGCTTGCACAACATCACCTTGGACTCAAGGCTTAGTTCTTTCAATAAGTCCAACTTGGATATTGTGAAACTAGTCAGTATCTTAGAGGGGAGGGTGTAGTCAGGAAATAGTGCTTCAATTACAGCTGGAGTTTTAAGTTCCCTGGGGATCTCTGCAATGGGTGTTCTTGTCCTTACAACTTTCCTCTCCAGGACAGTGGGCCCCCATTTTATCCTAGATTCCTCCCACCTTATAAAATAATATTTGTCCCTCTCTTCTCTTGCTTGTTTACTCAGTATGTCAATTACAGCAATTTGTTTTGTGCTAGGGGTCTCTGCATTTTCTATGAACCAGTCTATTGTTTCTAGCCTGGCTAGCACTCTTCGATCCTTGTAGTAGTCTTCTTTCTGAGATTGGTTCGGGGGGAAGTACCTGCTTAAGATATTAAATGATCGGGCTGAGTCTTTATCAAGGGACAAGGGGTACTTAGTTCCCATTAGAGACATCGCTGTGGAGAGAGGGTTTGGATCCTTGGTGCATCTTGACGCTCTTTCTTTGGTTTTGAGGTTCATCATTTTCTGTGTTCTCAATATGTTTATTGTCTCTTCTTTGCATCTTAGTATTTTTCTAACTGAGTTCATCAACATCTTCTTTGTGTGATCATTCTCTTCTTCGTTTGTTGCCATACTTTTAGATTCAGAAAGGACTGGTTCTTAAATGCCTCATGAAATTGCACATATTCGCCCTAATTACTCATGTAACTGCGATACCAGTACTGTACCTCTCCTTGCAAATACTTTAAGATAGTTTACTTTTTTACTTCCCATGAGTCTATCGACTTTTCATTATACTCTTCAGTAAATTTTAAAAAGTACATAGGATGGATTAACCTTTCCCTACTATTAAAAGGTACTAACAACATTTCCGCCAACTTTTGGTTACTATCAGTGCTACAACTTAGCTTACGTTCTAGGCCTAAGTTTATTTCGGGATTAAACTGACTAAACTTCTTTTCAACCTCTTCAAACTTGGAACTAAAACTTGACTTGAGTTCATTTATTTCTACAACGTTCTGGCCTACTTTACCAACACAATCTTTGACTGACTCTACAACTTAATTTATCTTAATATCTTGTTCATCATCAAATTCTTTAAACTTAGAATTAACCATACGCTTATGCACATTTGATTCTTCAGTCAAATCATTACCTGACTTTTGAATGTTTTCCTTTTGTAGTTCTATTTCTTTATCTCATTTGTCCTGAACGTTACCTATCATTTCAGTTAAATTTATTTTGTTAGTGTTCATTTCCTGTTGTAAAATTACAGTTTTTTCTTCTACATTAGACATGAATTTTCTCAAATCAAGAACAACACTCTCTAACCTATTTTCTAATCTTTCATTACTTAATTTTACTTCTATCATTTTACTGTCAAGATCTGTTAACCTACTTCCTATCCGTTGAAGCATGGACAAAACAAATGTATTATCTAAGCCTACTGAATCTCTTACAGTTAAGCCTACATCTATTTTCTTATATTGTGGCTCTTCACCCCTCGCCATATCATATTATTTTTGTTTGCCATTATTTAATTAATTTTTCCCTTTAAATTCATTTGACCCCACTACAAGGTTTACTATTTCTAGGAGGTAGATTCTTTGCTCCAGTATTCCTTCTTGTAAATTTACTTTCAATCTCCTTCTCGGGTTCAGGAGGGTATACTCTGATCCAAAGCAGGTTTTTTATCTTTGACCTTTTAGGCCTAGGGCTACTGATATTTGCACCAGTATCATGCGAACTATAACTAGGTTGACTTATACTAGGCCTACTATTTACAATATTTACAGGATCAGGATTATCAGGACCGTCGTCATATTCTCTGTTAGAAGTTTCCAACTCTTCGAAATCATCACCACCACCACTTGAGAAATCAAGTAATCTTCCAAGTAAAAACCATAAGCCTAATGTCGGATTCATGTTGTCCTAAATCGAAGTCATTTTCAAAATAATCATCACCTTCACTGTCACTTATTTCACCAGATAAAAGTTCCCTAATGTCACTAGATCGGCGATCTTCTGCCATTTTTATCACTATTACAACTCACAACACAGTTCATCAACAAAGGTACGCCATTTGCAGCGCCAGCTGACAGTGTAAACAACATATACTAATATAAATATCGTAAGGAACGGCACTTCCAAATAGTCGGCATGTAGCCTAATGTCCGCAGAACAGTTAGGTATAAGTATCAAGCGGCATCGATCGATCGTACGCCTGTATATTGAACGAAAATGATTGCCTGCAAAGCCATTTGACACTCGGAGACAAATTTTAATTTATGCCCTTGGCTTTCGTTACAGAGTTTTATTAAAGAATGCCCGTGTACCGGTGTAAACTTAATTGGAATCAAGGATTCTAATCACATAATTAAAAACAAGACTTTTATAACAGCAGAAAGTCAAATTTTTATTGTAAACCGGGTTGGGGGTGTGATTGTGTTAGGACGAATACACATTTCATCTATATTTTATAAACGCTAACCTTAACTAAGCATTTTTAATAGTTATTAAAAACAAATTTGTAACAAGTTCAGAAGTAAGGAGTTTACGAAGGATCCAGAGAAAGAACGATCAATGTCCAAAATTTTAGATTTTAGGCCTACAGGAAACACTTTTTAAAGTTAATAACCAAATCATTCCTAATAATTAAATAACTTACGTCATCAATCCATAAATTTCTGTGGAGTACGCGTTTCAACCATCAGGTCATCCTCAGCTCCACTGTCACTAGGTTGAATCTGTTTCTATGTTGCATTGATTTTGTAGCAACAACGTCGATATATTAAATAAATAGGACAACACATTTTACGTTCATTACACATACACGACACGTACGAAACATTTAAAAGACGATAAAACTACGATTATAACACCGTACGCACGGCTGGACGGGCTTAGGTATGCGGCTACACTGACTTGGTCGGTGTCCTGCACTGAACTTTGGACCATGACGTCATCTTCAGCTGGTTATCATTCTTTCATTGTCCATTAGCCTAATAATAGTGTCGTACACGGGATTCGAGTCAGAATGGATTTTTTCATTTAAAATGTTTTGATTTTGTTTAAAACCCTTGTATATATTCAATTCTTCTAATCTGTCTAGCCGCTGTCCCTTTTTCTCCTTTACTATAATTTCTAAATTATTGCTTATATTTGTGTATTTATGCCCCTCTATATTTATGTGTTCCGCATATTTTGATTTTGTACTCAGTTTTGCTCCTGTTCCTGTCCCATTATATATTACTTCTTTGACGTGTTCTTTAAATCTTAGATCAAAAGTTCTGCCCGTTTGCCCGATATAAAATGCGTCACAGTTATTGCAATTAAGCCTGTATACTCCTGAGTTCTTGTATTTATTCTCTCCAATGGATTTATTTGTATTTCCTAATAATCTCTGTATATTGTTCTCTGATTTAAAAGATACGGTGACATTTTGTTTTTTAAATGTTTTACAGATAATATGCTCTGTTTTCTTTGAGTATCTAACAGACACATATTTTTTGTTTATATCTAATTGGGATGGGTTTGAAGATGTTTGTTTAGCCATATGTCTATTGTAAAGTTTGTCAATTATAGACGGGTCATAACCATTCTGCTGAGCTATATATTTTATTGTGTTCAATTCATTATTTCTGTCAGGGGTACTCATCGGTATGTTAATTAATCTGTGCAACATGGAGTTAAAAGCTGAAAGTTTGTGTGCAGTTGGATGATAAGATGTTTCATGGATTATCTGATCTGATTGGGTGGGTTTCCTGTATATTCTGAAGTGGTGTTTATTATCGACATTAGATATGGATAAGTCTAAATAGTTAATACTGCCATTGGATTCAGTTTCAGATGAGAAGGTTATATTGTTATGTAAGGAATTTAAGTAGTTTTGAAAGATAGCCGTTTGTCTTTTATTGCCACTGTACAAGCACAACACATCATCAACATATCTCCACCAATAGATTATTTTATTGTCATACTGGTTCCCGTTCAATATTTTTTCTTTCTCTAGATTATGTAAGAATATTTCACTGAGGATGGCTGAAAGCGGGGAACCCATTGCTAGTCCCTCAGACTGCTCAAAAAAATCGTCATTAAACCTAAAGTAATTTTGTTGAACAATGATACTGGTTGCTTTTATCACTTCATTTATCTCTTTATCGCTTAGCTTCCCCCCTTCTGTTAATCTATCCTTCAAAATGATTAATGTTTCCTCTACTGGAATGCTAGTGTATAAGCTCTTGATATCATAGGAAATCAAAGTAGCCCCCTGTGGGATGGTGATGTCTTTTATTTTACTAACTAGGTCAAATGTGTTTTTTACACTTTTGCTGTCATTTAGAACAATGGAATTTCTTATTATGCTGTCGAGTTTTTTTGCTAATAAATAACCTGGGGCTTCCTTAAAATTAATTAGGGGTCTTACTGGAATGTCCTCTTTGTGAACTTTGGGGAGCCCAGTTATTTTGGGAGCTTTCGGGTTTGTTACCTTGAGAAATCTTTTTGTGTTTTCATTAAAAAGTTCATTGCTTTCATTAATAAATTTATTTATTTCCCTGGTGTATTTGGGTGTGGGGTCTCTATTAAGCCTAGTAATGTTATTATCATTGATGAAATCCATAACCTTTTTGTTGT